CGCATTTTATAGAGGGCGTTTTCTTTTATTTCATATGTTTCTTTCACAGTTAGTTTGTGAGATTGCTGTTTGACTGGTTTGCTGTGAGTTTTTATTTCTTCACTTTTGTTTGAAATTTCTCTTATTTGATTATATGTATTTCTTCCTGGACTATTACAAAACCTTTGGGGTACTGAGAAAGCTAATTTTGACATTTGTCCACTCTCTCAATAGAAAAGGTTTTGTTCTATGGCTTCCGGAGCTGGTACCCCCTGAAGACGTCAGCTTCGGTGGCCATATTTTTATTTTATTTCCTTTATTTTTTTGAATTACACACATTTGCTCATACAACAGAGGAGTTATGAAAGATGATACAAACAGATTCTATAAAAGATTTTTAAAATTAAATTATTATTCTCATTGACACGACAACCCAGGATGGGCCTTGGCCTTCTCAACAAGCCTATGCCAAGACATTCTTCCCTTAGCCAAGGTTCTCCAATTTATTATCTTTAACACTTGTAGGTCCTTTTCAAGACAGTCTAAAAATCTTAGGTTTGGCCGTCCTCTTTTTCTTGTACCTGTTGGCCTGTCACTGAAAACTTTTTAATTTATTAGTTCACTAAATTATTAGTTCTTTAATAATATCATCAGGTCTTTTTTAATTGAAATCGTCATATCTATTTTAATTGCAATAACATATGAAGAAAAAAAATCAAAAATACTGTCAGAAGTATTAAAGCTGTTTAACATTATCAATACAGGTGTTAAGTTAAAATCAGCTAAAATCATTTGTAAATACTATTAAAAATTCCAAATACCTGAAAGGATATCCATGATTTTAATTTAAACGCGTTTTTTTTTTTTACATACTTCACTACTGAAAAATCAATTAAAAAAATACTATACAAGGCTGTTACAAAATAACTTCAGGTGTTTTGGAAACTTCTGAAACAAATTGTAAAAAGTTTTATCAAAAATGCATTTGAATCATTTTTAAAACCTTTCTAAAATTAAAATTTGTAAAAATTTAAACAGTTTTGTACAGATAATACATATTAAAAAATTGGAATTATGAAAAAAATAATTTCTATTTTTCCAGAGTCTTATCGAAAAGTGATCCACTATTTTACAGTTGTGTTAATCTTGACCCTTCTGAAACTTTTAACTTTCCACCATTGCTTGCATAAGTACAAAACGTGAATTTATCAAAAAAGAGAACTCATCTGAGCACTCACACGACGCTCTTCTTTCTCAGCAGAATGAAAGGGAGCATTTGCTGATGTTTGAGACAAAGAGAGATGAGGAAATATAATGGCTTGCTCTATTTGTATTTCAGCTCAATGAAACTTTCATAATCCAACAAATTTATGATATAATCCTTTTATATAAATATAAATTGAAAGATTGTGCAATAGTTTTAGATTGCTTCATACTAAATACTTTAACCTGTTAATTAATCCAAATTGTAAAATTCAGATTGTCCATTCAGAATGCATAAAAGTATTCTTTAATATCAAAATAATTTGCGCATACCTGCCAAGTTTCCTATTTTTTAATGAAGATTCCTGTATTTTATGACTATCTCCTGTTTACTAGTATATTTTCAAATTTCTCCGTATTTGTTGAAGAAATTTAGAATTTTTTTTTCTCTTATTCCTCAACACATTGTGCTATTGCCAGTACTGCAGCAAGTTGAGTGTTAATAGTTTAAGTCTAGCTGTGATGGCTGAGGGGCATTTACCTTCCAATGAGGTGAACCGGGTTCGAATCCTAGCCATGACTGGTCGATATGAATTCCGAGTCTAGCTTGCGTAAGTGCTAGAGTGCTGACATAAAATATCCTCAGTGGTAGATGGATCATGGGTTAGAGTCCCCTTACCGTCTGGCTAACCGCAGGAGGTTTTCGTGATTTTCCTCTCCGTGTAATTAAAATGCGGGTTAATTCCATCAAAAAGCCCTCCACAAAGGCAAATTTTTCCCAATACTTGTTCCAGGATTTTCCTTGTTTTCTGGAGCAGGTTCAAAATTACAAGGCTATGGAGTTAAACATTAGTAATCGTAAACCCCAAATTGGGTCTGCTGTTCAATGACGGTTATAAGATAAAATAGTGTAAATAATTATAAATAATGGTTTAAAAAAATCTTCTTAAAATTAAGATTTATGTACATATTTTTTTCTTCACTATATGTAAGTGCTTAGATTTCGAATTTCTCTTTTTGACTTACATGATTATGCATGACGTATCAAAATTTTTCTCGTAGCCTAAAAAATGTCGCTAATAAAATATCCGTTATTTTATTTCTCCAATGTTGGCAGGTTTGTTTACGAGAATTTGAACAGAAGCGAAGGACTGGTGCAAGTGTGTCATCTCTAAACGTATACCTATATTCTAAAGTGAAACATTTTATCGCAATTGTTTATTAATGTTTAGTTTTATATGAAACATTGATGCTTATATGCGAGATAGAAATGTATTTAAAAAAAAATTTAAGTTAGTTGGAAAAATTCTAATATATGTTCTGTTCCCTTAATGAATTTTGCATAAATGCGCCTTTGTGTATTGCTGTTAACACCAAAAAGACCCATTTTCCCAGGATCTTTTTGTGCCAAGCTCACTAAAACATTTTCTTTTAAAATAACAGTGCTCATATTTTTTATTTTATATCCGTCGTTGAACAGCCGACCAAATTTTTGGGTTTACGACTACTAATGTTCAACTCCGTAGCCTTGTAATTTTGAACCAATCCAGAAGACAAGGAAACTCCTAGAACTTTGTTATAGGAACATGGAGGACTTAGCGACTCGACAGATTTAACTTGCAAACGTCATCATTTACTTCACGGGGAGTCTTCAGCCGGCCTGGGTGCTCATATTTGAAAGATAACGTTCATCTGCACTAAGTTCATTGAAGGTAACCTCAAACTAAGTTGTTATTTATTTTTTATTGCAAACATCTTTTCACATAATTCAAACTTTCTCGCCCAATATCCTTTGGGTCATAATTAAACTTACTTAACTAGTACTTACTAGTAAGCAACTTAAAATTTTATTCATTGATATCAAATCTCATTGATAATAAATTTTTTTATTCATGGAATTAAGGAGTAAGTCAATAAATTTAGAGACAAAATATTATCTTTTTTTTTTTTTTGTTTCTTTGAGAGCTTAACTGTTGATAAGAATGTAACTTTTAAATTATAACTTTTTCATTATTCATTTCATATATCTTCATATTTTAATGTGTATTGGCAATGAATTTATCTCAATTATACCCATTTAATTTTAAATACAATTAATTTTAAAACTTATTAAATATGTAGTTTGGATATCTACTTGTAAGTAAGGAATAAAAACTTGTTTTGCCAAAAATAATTTATTTTTAAAAATGTTTTTTGACCTAAAGGAAAACATTTGACAAATTGGTTCTCTGCTTTCGCAACTCATTAATGTTTTTAGTTTGATAAAAAAAAATAACTGTCTTAATTTCTATGACTGAAAACTCAAAGCCGATGCGTGCAATACGCGCCTTGATGCACATTGGCAAACCGTGCTTGTTGCATTTTGCTTTTTATATTTTGCTTTCGAACTTAAGCGTGGCTAGCGGTCTTTACTGTCTCGATAGTGTGTGAAATCTTGTTGTTTGGGCAGTAATCTGTGGTTCCATCTGGGATAAGGTCATTATTGATGAAAATCACTGGTGAACAATGTCAGCTGAATCTCCACTCACAAGTTTATGTGTTAACATATCGATGACATTGTGTCACTACGTGTATCAGTAAGGAAGAAAACGTGAAAGAAAAACAGAATAACTTTTAATCCAGTTAGGTGGATCCACCTATTTGCAGTTTGTCTACACACTATTTTGGGGGTCACTAAGTGCACTATTTTTACCTAACTGATTTGATTCAGAGTTATGTAGAACCACAAAACAGTTTAGGTGCAACAACGTTTAACATTCTATCCTTTTGTGCAGAGGTATAGTGACGGAGAAGCGGTGTGAATCCCTATTGTTTTCTCTATTTTGCAGTAAAATTTCTTGACTTTTGTTAAGAGTTAAATGGAATAAATGTATATGCATCATGTTTACATTTTGTAATAACTGTTTTATTAAGCATTGAATTACTTTTAATTAAATGGCTCTTCATTTATGATGAAAGAATTTTACATCAAATGCAGTTAGAAACAAAAGTTTTGATAATATTTCCACATGTTATTTTCAAAAAGGGAAAAAACTTGATGCATGAATGAAAAACGGAGTTTTTAGCGTTTCTCCACTTATTGCAGCACTTACTTTTAATACATATCGTTCTATATTCTGTCATTTTATTAAGTGATGAAAAATCATAGTATTGCGTGAGAGGGAAATAAAATGTATCCATTGTTTTGACTACAATATTTTTCACCAAACATTTCATCTATTCCATTTTTCTCCTTAATATTTTTATAAATTTTAAGGGAATTTTATTTAATTTTTTTATCGCATTTTAATTCTATCATTAAAATTTAATTTCAAATAATTCTTTTATTAATTAAAATCATTTTGCAGAGAGTAAATAGCTTATAAAATTTTGATAATAATTGTGATAATATTCGCGACACTAATTTGATAATATTAATTACTCATTTTTTGAAAGCTTTGTTAAATTATTTCCTGGGAACAATTTAACCTTTTTTTAACATTAAGTAGTAATTTAATGTCAAGTAAGTTTTTAATACTTAAAAGTTTTTTTTATTATTATTAAACCAAATATTAAAATAATTTTGCAAGATTTTATCTGAGTTTTATAATTTTGAATAAAATTATTTTTAGAGATAAGCGCCATAATATCTCCAGATTGGATGTTAATATAGTGATGATCTCAAACCATTTTACCAACAATCACCGATTTTAGGAATAATTGATTTTAGTTATTGACGTAATTAGAATTTATAACAACATATATGTAAGGTGTTCCAAAAATATATTAAGAATAAATAAGATTTATCAAGAGGAATAAAGGAAATTATTTTAAGCTAATTAAAGTGTTCTATAATTTTATTGAAGAGTGAGCATTACAAAAGATATTGTATCTTACAATAACATTGCAAAATGAAACCTTTGTTATATTAAAAAATTTTATTAAAAAAAGGCTGCCAGCAGTGTAAAACTAAAGATGAAATTCAATAAATAAATGGTACAATGAAATATGTATTGTCAGTCCAGCTAACAACATTATTCTACTTCGTTGCATACTTGGTAGAGATGTTTGCAATCTTCTCCGCTTCGACCTCTTCGTGAAGCAGTATAATTTTCTTGAAATGTCTTTTGATTATCCAAGGCATAACTTGCTGCATATCTGTAGCAAATAAGATACTTTCTTAGTAAAAATTTAAAAAAGCAGCGGATAGAAGTACTTTTAAAAAATTTAGTATACATATCAGAAAATTAAAAATTTTATAAACATTTATTAAAATGGGTAAAGAAAAACAAATTTTGTCTTAATTAAAAACTTACATTTCTGAATTTTGAACTTGAGTTTTAACTAAATTAAAGGGTTTCAACGACCCTTAACCAAGTCAAATTTTTTTTTTGGTTTTCATTGATGGACCAACTTAATCTTGATGGTTACCATCAATAATTCCATCATGAACCATTATAATTTTGAATGGTTACCAACATAAGTAACCATCACTCCAATGTAGGAATTCAGACTGATTTATGATGGTCCAACATAAGAATAGCAACTTGTTTTGATGGTTTGTTCATGTTGAACCATCAGAAATTTCCATCATAGTTTCTTAGAATTCAAATGTTGGAACGATCATTAACAATTATCATCCTGATGTAGGAATTCGGACTGATTTATGATGACCCAACATAAAAAAGAAACAAATTCTTTTAATGGTACCACCAAAAATTTCCATTAATCCATCATGGAAATGTATAGTTGGAACCATTGTGGATTGTTGGTCCATGAAAATCAAAATTTTCTTGATGGCTAACCATCATAGTATTAAAGTAGTATTTTCCATTATGGAATGATGGAAGTTTGTTGGCATATCAAAAAGCATAAACGCATAATGGAAAATGTTGGATGATGATGACCATCAAATGTTGGACCATCATTAATCGCACTGAAACAGGGCCGGATTATACCTTTCGTAGGCCCTAGGCACAGAGCCGGATTATACCTTTCGTAGGCCCTAGGCATAGCCGTTTTTGCCCCCCCATTCCTCCCCTCTTTCCCCGCTAAAATTTTCTTGCATATTTTTTTTTTACATTTTTATTAATATGGGTTTTAATTTACGAATTTGTTTATCTAACTTTATCTGCAATACCGACATACTGCCGATATTGCAGTTGATATCGATAATACCATTTTTGGTGAAAATTTACTCTTCCGATTTAGAGGAAAACTTTGTAGATGAATTTTTACTATTTTCAAATTTGTATGAGCATAAATCTGCACAAGAAATGTTGAAGGCTCAAATTAAAGATAAACTTGTGAATACTTTTCCTAACGTTCACATTGCATTAAGAATATATTTGTCGATTCTTGGATCAAATGCAGAAGGAGAAAGATCTTTCTCCAGATTAAAATTTATAAAAAATTATTTGCGTTCAACAATGAATCAAGATCGTTTGGCATCTCTCGCACTTATGTCTATTGAATACGACATTTTGCGTAGTTTGGAATTCGACAGCATAATACAAGATTTCGTTGAATCCAAAAATCGCAAAAAAGTAATATATTAGATCATAAGATTCTGCAAAATAATTTATTACCGAAAAATATTATATTTTTATTTGTATCTTCATAATTTTGTGCAAAATACACTTGTTGTTTTTAAAGCTAAATTATTTTGGTCAATAAATTTTTTTCTCCCAAGTTTTTCGTAGGCCCCTGAATTTCGTAGGCCCTAGGCACCTGCCTAGTGTGCCTATAGGATAATCCGGCCGTGCACTGAAACCAACGTAAACCATCAAAAAAAATTTATGGGACCATTAAGAATTTTGACTTGGGTAATGTCTATTTTGAGATTCTTGTCAAAAATGAAGCCACATTGGAGGATGTTTTAACGAGAGAGAAAAAATGTGATTATTCAAGTTTCATCTGGCAATCGAGTTCATTTTAATGTTTTTATTTTTGGTTTCCTCAATAGGCTCTCCATATTAACGATGGTTCGTTAGATAGTTTACACGCTAATACTTGTTGATGCATTAAAATCCTTCGTAATTTGAAGAAGGGTTACACGTCTTTAATGTTTAGTGATTCTCGCCAGTCGTTGTTAGTTCTGTTCTTTCATAACCGCAGTATTGTTAGAGAATTAATTTTATACCGTATTCCCGATACTTTCGGCATACTCGTTATATGAATGAAAATTAAAATTTTATCGTTACCTTGAGATGCTAAAAGTCGCTTAAATTTGTATAACTTGCCTATCTATTAACTTTGCCAAGCACTTGTTGTCTTATATACTGTAATTGGTTGCAAACATCTGTTATTTGCATACTGGTGTTTCTGACTTTTTTGCGTGCTAGAAAAATCATGTCAGACTTTAATATTAAACTAACAAATTTAAAAATATTTTGAAATTATTTGTATAAAAACTAGGTTAGATATCAAATAAATCTATAAATAATACAACTTCACATAAAGTTTGTCACAAAGTGCTCTTATGTTTCATTCACTTTCATGACCGCAGTGAAGTCAGAGAAACTTACGTATAAGTCACCTTCATAAAAAGAATGTTCAAGTGTGACCAAGTTTTAAGCAAGGATCAAGGGACCGGAATTTTTTTAAATAAAGGAGCATAGCTTCTTATACGATTACACTTTTCTATGAATACAGTGGTGGAAAAAAAGTTTGAGACCACTTACTAATTTTTAAAATCAATTTTATTAAAACCAATTGGCACTGTCATTGCTTCAGAAATGTAACTTTAAGGACGTGTGTCATTCACACAGATTCGTAGTTGACCTGATTTTCCTGATCAAAAATATTCTATCCAGACTTTTACCTTTTCGTCTTAATATTCCTGATTTTGTGCGTGTTCAAAGCATCTCATTTTCTACGAATACAAGTGCGTATTTTAAATGAATTGATTAAACGAATCGAAAGATTGGGATTTTTGATGCAATAACTTTTGTTTATATTTCATTTATTTATTTATTTTAGTTTGTTAATTGCCCTATTTAAAAATAGTCTGGTATATGGATACTATATGCACTGTTCCAAAAAAAGTCCTGATTTTTTTTCTTCGGTCCACTACGAGGAATAGCTTGCTAATATAAAATATGCTTTTTTAAATAATATAAATTTATGTTTTTCAATTATAGACTCAGGGGCCACCACCAGGGAGGGGGGGGATTTTTACACTAAATAAAACGAATAGTTTGGGGGGGGATTTAGAATTTGCCCAAGAACGCGCCCAGCAGCTTTGGGGGGGCACTGTATAGACTAATACGAATATCTGAAGAAAGGTTGGAGACCACAACCGAAATTAGTTGAAAATATTTTTTCAACGCAAATTAGGTCTATACTTTTACACAATTTAACGTAATAAAGTCAGTAAGTAAAAGGTTGCTGTGGGAAATCGTAAATCACGCGTGTGGGACTCTCAATTCTAGATTAAATCGCATTGTAAATCATGTTAACATGAATAGAGAGGGAGCGATTTAAAAAAACATATGAAGTAAGTAGTTGTAAATCATTTATATTTATCGAGGCGTAACCATTTTAACGACGCAAATCGCGATGTTCGCTTCTTAAATTTCATTAATACTAATTGTAATACAAGATTCCTGAATAAAAGTGAATCTGAAGAATGAAATTATTCCCATTCGAACGCAGAAAGTTAAACGGAAACGATAAAAAAGAACATTCAAATTAATAAAATTAAAATTACGAATAGTTAAGTATTAAAGATAACGAAGTTAACGCCATAAAGAAATTTAAAATTCTAAAAAAACATTACGCGTATCGAACATTAACGAGATCAATATACAAAAGTGAGGATTATTAGTAAGAAATACTTCAGCGAAAGGTCCGAAAATCTGCAGACAATAGAGCAGGGTTTCTTAACCTGTGGTTCATGGACCCCTAAGGGGTCCATGAGTCATATTTTGGGGGTTCGCTGACTGCTCCTAATTTTTAAAATGTTTGGAAGCCTACCCATTGCTTGTAAAGCGAGCTATGGCAGCTATAATTCCATTTGCTACAGTGAATCTTTGCGAAGCGGGATTTTCCACACTTGTGACAATAAAATCAAAATATCGAAATCAATTGAATGTTGAACATGATATGCGCGTTGCTTTACCGAATACCATCCCCCAATCCAATTTATTAATTAAGGAAAAGCAGCAGCAACTTTCACATTAAAAATTTAAATTTTAAAAATTTTGAATACTATTAAAATAATAAAATTAAATGTTTTCTAATAATTGATGCTTTTTGCAATAATTTTTTTCACAGGGGGTGGTCCGTGACTTCTTAAAAATTTTTAAAAGGGGTCCATTATACCAAAAAGGTTAAGAAACACTGCAATAGAGCAAAGGGAGAGAGATGACCCTTATAGACGATTTCGTAATCTCGCTCGTCCCTTGACGTGCCAAGTTTCGCCAACTTTATGCCCAGAAATTTGACACCATAACGGTATTTCAATGGAAAACAAATCTTCGTATTTCGACTTTAAATAACATTTAAAATTTTTCTTTTCCCCCCATTTTTCGCAGATTGACAGAAAAGAGTCAAAATAACAAGCATATGAATGGACTCAAAGATTTTGATTTTATTTACTGAGATATTGATGTTTAAAGTTGACTAATTTTAGTGTTTTTTTCTCCAATCAGCATTGCAGTCATGATCTGCTGTTTAGATTTTATATAGTGAAGAGCGTTTCTTCCTCCCTTTTGTTAGGGGCGGTTATGTAGCTCCCGTTTCACGCGATTTGCACTTAAAGTAATTAAATGATTGATAAATCTTGCTTAAGGAAATTAGAAAATAGAAAGAAAAAAATTCAAAATTTTTATTAATTTGAAATTTTTACAAACTATTGTTATCACTAATTGAAGTTTACTTATGAAATTTTACAGAAAAATCTTTATTAGTTTTAAAATTACATTCTTTTTAAAATAAATAAATGAAAGTCTTTACTGTTGAATTTTAAATACTCTTGTTCTTAGACTTAACGTTAATACTGAGATGATTATTGCTTTAATCTAAACAAGTGATTTTTGAAGCTAAATTAAGCAATAATGTAGCTAATGGAAATTTTTCGAATGACAAGTTGAGGAATATTTTATTTTAGATTATTTTGAACTTTATATTTTTACCTGAAATGTATTTAATTTTAA